TCCCTCCCTCCCGCTGCGAGCGCCGGGAAGCAGGGGCCCAGAACCAAACCCGTAGGTCCAGACCAGCCTCTCGTTTCCAGGGAGATAAGTGCCTATACCCAAATTAACGGTGGCCATAGAAACCCAGCCCCTCCCTCCCCCCCCCAGCGAAGTCCCGCTCGTTTTCATCCACCGCCTTGTCAGTCCGCTCCGGGCGGAGGAGGAGAGTGAGCGGCCGGCTGCCCCCGGGGGAGGCGAACAGCGCCTTCATCCTCCCCACCGCAAAACAAAGCCAACAGCTCGGCTTTGCGGAGGGCAGGCTGCCCACGGCGAGTGCGCTCCGTGCCTCTGCGAAGGTCCGAGCGGCCGCGACGCCGGCGTCTCCGAGACCTGGCCCCGCGATTGCTTCTGCTCCAGCAGGCCCCCAGCCCGTCCCCTCTGCAGTCAGTCCGGGGGTTATGGGAGCAAAACGCAGGGTTTGCAAAGAGCCATCAGGAAAATAACAGCGGCTGAAGAGTCTCCGGGAGCTTTCCTATTGCTTGTAGTGTGTACTAGTGCTTTAATTGCATGATTCCTCTTATCAGATATACTCTATCCGTGTAGCTTCTCCAGGTCCCCTTAAGGTTTCCATCCTGGTTGGCTGGGACTGAATACAACGCGGGACCAAACAACTCTAGCTTAGGCTTTCTCCCTTGCCAGAGAGTTCTCCGCTTTGCCATCTGGGCGGTAAGAGGAAAAGACTCTGGCAGGGCCACTCGTGGTGGGAACAAATCCTAAACACCTTTCTTCTTTCAGGCAGCGGTAAAACTGCATTCCTCCCCTCCTCCTCCTCCTGTGCAGTTCCAGCTTATTTTGCTGAGATTGTCAAATGAAATCGGTTCTCCAAGTGCATTTCATCCAGGGGATAGTCTTTCTGCTCTGGTTTGAAAGTAGTGACTGGTAATAATAATGAATAGAATTATTTGTCTTTCCCATTTCATGTCCATGGATCTCAAAAGAATGTGTGCACATCAATGCATTAAGCCTCACAACAACCCTGACGGGAAAATCCGAGGCATGGAGAAGGGAAGCGACTTCAATAAAAACCCCACAGCAAGTCAAAGCATCTAGCTGAGGCTGGAACTCTGAACTCCCCCCCCCCCCCCCCCACAAACCCCCTTCCCCTCGAACCCCCGACCCCCCCCCTCCAAAAGAAAA